GTCTCAGAAAAGCTGGATTATATTCACACTCCATCTGTCTTGGGTAAAATACACTTGGGAAAAAACAATGACTCCTTTGGAGCAGCTAACAGCAGATATCCCAGCCCACCAACAGCCATTCCTAGTCAATACCAACTCATCGAGACACACTTCAACTACAAGTCACAGCACTTCTCCTGTTTTGGAAGTGAGAATGGAAGGAAGCCACTAAGCCCCACGTGCAGAAACCTGATTTATTTTGGATATTACTGAGGAGATTGATGTTAGCCAGATACCTCAAGGACCAACACTGAGACATCAAACTGTAACCGGGACAGATTGATTTGTTTCTGCGGTCAGTCTCTAGGTGAATAAATCATCCCTTTCTGCAGAAAAAATGCTTCTTCTGTTAACAGTGTACAATATTACTCCTTGATGCACATAACACACACTTCATAACACAAGTAAATAAGTTTACAAGTACTGAAAAACAAGAGCAGCTCCCAGGGCAGTTGTACAGGGGAGCTGAACCACAACTGTTCCCTTACAAACAAGGCATATAGATTTTTACCTAGACAAGCTAAGAAACCTTAAAACATGCAAAATCACAGCAATAACAAAAAGGTGCAGGGTAGACACACCAAAGTGGTAGAGAACAAGTAATTCCTTACCGTTTTTCCCACGAATGAGATCTTCCACCAGAGGTTTAGCCACCACATCAAAAACATCCTTCTGAACAACGAGGGTGCCAAACACTTCCTTAAACGAATACTGCGTCTGGAGCAAAGAAAATACAGTGTCCTAAACCTCCCATTTCCCTGTCCAGAAGCCATTGCTTCAAAATGCTTCGCTCTTTAGAACAGCTTTCCATCAGCTTAACACAATGACAAAATCTGCTTTAGGATCACACCAGTGTTTGAATACGCAGCTGCTCCACTACAACTAGTCTAGGAATAAGATTTGCAAAACAAAGAACAGCAACCGTCGAGTTTTTATAGACCTTAAGTCCCTAATAACTGGAATGATCACACAGCCTGACCTCCCATGCCAACAGTTTTCAGTTTCAAGTTCTTGTTTGAGCTGAAATCATCATCTATGCAGGAACTGAGCAAAGCAACAACCACAATGCCCAAATCCAGATTGTTCCAGGTTTTAATCATCTTCTTTTAAGTTCATGTCTTCTTCCAGCTGAGTCTCAGTTTCCAGGAAGGTCCAGGATGGGTTTTCAATACATTTTGATCCATCTGGCCACTTCTCATCAAAACACTTATTCAAATAAATAGTTGAACTAAGAGTTTTTGAGTAAAGTTTTGTTTACAAAACTTTTAAATCTTTGCCGATTTTATTTAGGACTTTGAAGATAACTTTATAAACTTCAAGGTTCTTCCATACTGAAATCTGCATCCCAGCTAGCATTCACTGCATTTTATTCACAGCCAAAGACAGCCTCATTGAGAGCTACATCCCTGTGCTGGGAACCTGTAATTAACTGTTCCGCAGCCATATGGTGCTCAGCACTCTAGTGCTTCAGCTCCTCGTTCTGTGCATGCGGCCTAAGCCCTTCTTTCCTAGGAAACATGATATTGGTCAAGTACCAGCACAAACTTGGAATAAGTGACCTGCTTCCTACTTCCCACTTCGTGCCATTTCACTACTTTAGAGATGAATAGCTCAGTTGAAAGGGACCTGCAAAGATAAGGTCCAACCGCCTGACCCCTGACCGCTTCAGGACTAACCAGAAGTTAGAGCATGTTACTGAGGGCATTGTCCAAATGTCTCTTGAGCACTTGCAGGCATGGGGGGCATCAACCACCTCTCCAGGAAGCCTGTTGCACAGTTCAATCACCCTCATGGTAAAGAATTTTTTCCTAATGTCCAGTTTAAGTCTCCCTTGGTGTGACTTTTGTTCCTGGTGTCCCCTCATCATTCTGAATTTGGAAACTGGCTCCCCGAGCACACCAACCATATGGTCACTGCCCCGCAGGCTGTGGTGGACCCCATGAGCCTGAGGGGAACCCCAGAAGGGGGGAAGGGGCTGCTGCCCACCCCCGGCAGCCCCAGGCCCTTACCTCCCGGTACTCCCCGTTGCGGAATACCCTGTACCCATCGGGCGGGTGGATCTGCACCGTGGTCTCGCTGATCACCTCGATGCAGCACTCCTGGTCCTGGCGGCTGAGCGGCCTCACCCTGCAGTACACCTGGGGGGAGAAAAGGTGAGGGGGGGGGGGGGGGGACAGGGCGCGGTGGGGCACTCAGAGAGAGATTGGGAACAGGGAGGGGATGGAGATTGGGGGACTGATGGACCGGGAACCGGGAGGGGGGGGCACGGGAGGGTGTGAGGGGGGAGGGACGGACCGGGAATATGGAGATGGGGATCGGGGGGGACGGACCGGGAACCGGAGGGGGGGGAACTAGGGCCAAGGGGGGGACGTGGGGGGGACCAGGGGGTGCCTGGGGGGGTTTCACGGCACGAGCCCCGCTCCGAGCAGCCTCCCCCCGCCCCCCCCATCCCACCCACGCCCCACCCCACTCCACTCACCCCCACGGGATCCTTGGGCCCGGGGGCTGGCGGCTTCTTCAGCGCCGGCCTCCGCGGCGTCTTGGCCCTACTGGGAGAAGGAGCGAGGCGTCAGGGGAGGCCCGGGGGGGGTCCGGACCACACCGAACCGGGCCGGGACGAGGGGCTGAGGGGGCTGGGGACGACTTACGCCGCCTTCATGGCACCGGGGGGGGCCGGGGGAGGGGGACGGAGCCGGGACAAGGCCGGGGCCGGGCCGGGGTCGCGGTGTGAGGGGGGGGGCGGGGGGCGGGGGTCGAGGCCGGGGCCTCCCCGGAGCCGCTCTGGGCGCTGCCTCCGGCCGCGCGCCCGTTCGGATTCAAATGCAGCCAATCAGCGCGCGCGGCGCCGCGTAGCGTCGTTGCGTCACGGGGTGGGAGGGGGACGGGCGTTGCCATGGTAACGGGCCCACAGGGCCGCGGCCTACAGCGCGGGCGCCCCCCGCTGGGCCTTCGAGGCCTGCGCGGGCCCGGCTGTGAGGGGCGAGGGGTTGTAAAGTCGCATAAACACAGCATGGCCACAGCCTGCAGCACCCTGGCCAAGCCCTGAGTGCACCCAGCGCCACCCCAAAGTCAGCCCCGGTGTCTGAGAGCGTTGCCCAAGCACGTCCCGAGCTGCCAGTCCCTCCCCACAGTGCCTCAAAGATGGGGGCACCTGGCACGGGGTGGGAAGTGGTCCCTACACACCTCGCCTCACGCCCCAAGGGGCTCTTCAGCAGCCAACAAACATTTCCTTGAGCACAGGTTAAAAAAAACATCGCTGCAGCTCAGGGCCTGGGCTCCCACGTGCACGGGAACCTCTCCCGTGGGCTGTTCTTACCTTGTGTTTGTTCATGTGCTTAGTTCAAATAAAGGTTTGGGATCAGGAACACGGGGCTAATCCAGCAAAGTTCTCCATGCCAGGGTCTCTCCATACCCGGTGGCTGAGCTGCTACCTGCCTGCAGGTAGCTCAGTGAATTCCTAGCCCTTAGGAAATGCTTAATGGTGGAAAAGGAGGCAAGGGTAAAGAGCCCGGCCAAATGAGCCCATTGAAAGACCGATTTCCTGAGAAGGAAACGCACTTCCAAGTCAACTGGGGAACTGGGGCAAAGGATGAAGTAGCTTGGATTTTAACCCTGGTTTGCAGCTCAGAAAGCCTCCAGTGGACTGAATTCAGCCTCACTTAAACCCCAGACTCCGGCCAAGTTCTTCGTTTTAGTGTAAATTAACTAAATAACATCAGCTTGTCCTTTTTAAGAGAAAAAAAAATATCAAAAGAAATCCTAACAATAAGCTGTTTGGTGTCCTGGGTAACCTTCAGTTCTTAAACAGTGTTTTACAATATATCAAAACAGACAACTTTTTTAATGTTCCCATAAAACATATCAACAATATAAGCAGTTAAAATTAAGCTGTGCACGGAGTGCTGCAATGTCAGATGCCAGGGCGATAAAGACGTGCAAGACAGAAGGTCTGCAACCAAGTGTGTGTTTGTTTTCAGATGTGCACAAGTTCCTCTGTCTCTGTAGGTGGAAAAAAGGCTAAAATAGCTCTGTGCTGGTTACCCGATCAAGTGGCAGGAGCCAGGAGTCTAATCAGCCTTAGAGATCACAAACCTCAGCGAGCGGAGGTAGTGATGCAGCCTCAGTCACTAGGGAGGGAATAACTTCCCTGCTTCCAGCCAGGCACCAGCACGCAGTCTCCTGCTCACTGACCCTCATCCAGCCTCCATCCTCACCTCACCGATGGCTGCTTCACCCGGGGAGGACTTCCAGAAGATAGCCCCACACCTCCCGCTGCAGACACTTTCACCTTTATTCCAACTTACTTGAATCCATGTTGTGTGTTGGACTGTTACGGGAGAAAATGCGTGCCTGTTGGATTAAGCATTTTTCAGAAATAGTCAGAATCACATTTTACATTAACCCAAAGGAATTTGGTAGACCTAAAATCCAGCCAACTGCCCTGCTGAATAGGCAAGTCGCAGTTTTCTGTGACTTCTACCTAAAGTGTAAAAGATCAGCAGACTGTGAGTGTGGTGAAGCACACTTTGAATACCATTGAATTATAGCGGTTGGTATTGTTGTATAGAGTTCAACATAAATTGAGACTAAATTGAAGAGCTCACACAGCAAACAGGCTCAAGTTGGGCACGGAGTTCAGAGGTGAGAACCAAAGAGGGATTCCAGCCAAAAATCACCCTGAAAACCTTTTCCAGGGAAAGTCATATCATGTACATCGCGTACCTATTGAGTCTGACCCTCCTTCATATCTGCAACATCTGCACTGTGCATCAGAGCAGTAAAACCTCAGCTGAAGAGCAGCGTAGTGATGCTCTTAGCTTTGTTCCTAGTGGTAACAGTGGTGTCTGTGGCTTCGGGCCGGCGTGCAGCTGGTGCAAGGCCCCGGTAGAGCGGGGTTTGCACAATGTACAGGGAGTGCAGCCGCAACAGAACAGCATGTTCCAACAGATAAATGTCCTGTATTGTTTACAACTCGACACAAAGCTTTTATTTCTTGATGTGAATAAAATGAAGTACATTGAACAGCTTTTTGAAGGCCTGTCGCCAACTGAATAAGAAATCTGGCTTGGCTACGCTGCTCCAAGATCAAACCACACTCGCTCATTTGTTGTTTAAGGTGTGCACTGGGCAGAGGGTCCGTGCAAAGGGCTGCAGGATCCGGAGGGATTATGGCAGTATAAAATGTAGTGCTATATTTTCAGTGTAGTTTTCCTGCAAATAAGTTCACCTCAAGAGCACCAGAGAGCTTCCCAAATTCAGAAGTTAAACAAACAAGTAAGAAAAAAAATTAGAATAATTCATGTAAAGTTTACAGAGCTTAAATCACGTCTTGCAGATAGAGCCAGATTCCTTTCCAGTTACACATATACACAAGGTAAATAAGCTTTGCAATTATTAGCAATTATCTCTGAAGTGATTATTTTCACAGACAGAAACGGAACTACCCAAATCAGGTCAGAATACATCAGTGCCATAGTTATATTAGTTTCCTCTTTTAATGAAATAAAACTGTTGAATAAACAATTATGTTCCAGTGCTTATAAATATTAATATAAATCTTGGTCAGCTTTCAAAAGAAAGTTTGCTTTCAACAGACTCAGTTGTCCCATAATATCTTTAACGAGCCATTGTGTTGCCACTCAAAAGTGCATCTAGTATACCTTGAGAGAGGTAATTATAGGCGCAACACGTTACACACCCGTATGATTATCAAGGAGCTCGATAACATTCCGTAGCAGTCATCTGCATCACATGCACCTCCTGCAAGGTAGCAGGTAAAACCAACGTGACAGCCTCCTCGGAAACGTCCCCAAAGCCCTCAGGACCTCTCCTGGAGGAGAAGCCATCCCCTTCGGTGGGCTGCTTGTACCGTGGAGCCCAGCCCTGGGGGAGCCACAAACACTTTTCTGTGCAAGAGGGACCAGAAGGCAGGGAGGGACAGAGGTGCCCCCAGCCACAGGGTGAGAGCTGAGCTCTTGCATGGAGATTCACTCCCCAGGACTCATCTATAGGAGTTGGACAAAAAGAGCAAATCCCTTGGAGCAACACTTTCCGGATAATTATCAAAAATAGCTATTTCAGTAAAATATAAAGTGTAGGCACGCCCTGGTCTCCCTCAGCCCCACATGGGGTAGGCACTTGGGTTTAGTGCAAGGACTCGGATGGCTGAGTTTTAGCCTCCTGGATGACAGCACCTGCAGGGCGAGGGCCCTGTGCTCAGTGCTCAGGACGCGGCGCACAGCGCGCTCCCTCCCCTGCCATCGGGGTCTGCTTCAGGACCAAGCCAGCGGCAGGGACACTCGTACCCCCCTGCCCGTGCCTCCCCACGTCCTCCATAAGGCAGAACCGATGAATGCCTATTGCTTTGGAAAGTATTAGCACTTATCTCCCTTCTGCAGGAAACGTTAAGATTATTTTAAATATTCCTGGTGGTGAAAGACCAACTTGATTAAAAGCGCTGCGTAATCTGTTCCCAGCTTTAAAGCTCTATGTACAAAAAACAGTGCAATACGTTTCGCTCGCGAGAAACCATAAATAAATATTTTCTCGTGGAGCGAATGCGGATAAACCCCTCGTTCATCCCATCCACCTGCTGTTTAGGCTCTGGCCTGCGGAGCAGCACGGAGGCCACCTAGACCCGAAGCCTAGTGGCCGTGTGGCTTGTCCTTGTGCCCGGGCTCGGGCATGAAGCGGAGGGACGCAGAGCAGAGCCCGATGACGGCCAGGCCGATGGCCATGCAGGTGCCCATGGGCGCCAGGGTCTGCAGGGCGGAGGGCAGCAGCGAGGTGGCCAGCAGCCGCTCGTGGCGCTCGCTCATGTCCAGCATGATGGCTTCCATCTGGAAGTGCGTGCCCAGGATCCCGCACACGTGGAAAACCTGGTGGCTGTGCCCTGCAAGGAAGCCAGAAGACCCTCGAGAAACTCCCCCAGGTTGCACTCAAACACAGCCAGGGGCTCGGCGGCCCTCCTGCACGGTGGGCGCTGCCTCCTGGCATCACGTTTCTAAATATTTATTCTGTTTAACGAGCCTGGTGGCACTCACCGATGTAGTCAAAGTGTCCTGGCGCGAGCCTCTCCGGCAGGTGAGTGGCAAAGATGAAGCAGGTGAGGAAGGCGAAGGCGGTGTGCTTGTAGTGCAGCGCGACCGCGGGCTCGGCGCAGCCCCACACGGCGCACAGGTAGAACTGAGCAGGAGGACAGCAGCGGGGGAAAAAAGGAGAGCAAAATGTTCCCAAACATCCCATCAGCCGCCCCCTGCCCTGTGCCTCCTGTCCCCCCCCACCCCGTGCTGCTGACCCGGTGACTCGCAGCCTTCAAAGAATGCCGCACTTTGACCGGCGCAGGAAAAAATAACCAAATCTCTTTTCCTGCAGGAGTTTGTTTTCCCTTTTTTTTTTAAATAAATAAAGGTTGAGCTATTTTCCCGAGCGTTCTCAGAGCGAGACGAAGCGGCTGATCTTTCCAACCCTGGAGCAAGGAGAGGTGCGGGTGCCGGGAACGCCGCCCGCAGGAGCGCTCTACCTACCCTGTAGAAGAGGGGAATGCTGTCGAAGAGGTAGGGGTAGACGAAGGCCAGGGTGCGGGACACCTTGCTGAGCCGCGGCCGCTCCACCTCCAGGAACCTGCGGGAGAGCAGAGCAGACATCTCGCACCACACAGCAGGGCAGAACCGGCGCTGTTTGTCCCTGTTCCCCTTCCCAACCTGATTTACAGCGGGGCGCACGGTGCCCGGACCTTTTTATTAAAAAATCACAAACCAGAGGGAAGCGACCTCCCTGCCTGCCTGCCTCCACCTGGAGATATTTTTTAGGATGCGCCAGGGAGCAGCTTGGAAAAAACATCATTTTTGCACCATCTTTTCGTGCCTGATTTTGCTTCTTTTAGCACCGCTCGTGCCCTGTTGCCCACCAGGAGCTGGGAACAGGGCTTGGTGTTAAACACCTCCTGCCCCTGCCGTTTCCAGCTGAGTTTTTACTCTCAGTTTTTAATCCAAGCTGTCAGGGGGCAACAATCGCAAGAACAAACCCGCTTTGCTTTGGAAGGCATCGCGGGTTCTGCAGCGTTCTGGCTGCATTTGGGGGGGGGATTGCTAATGAAGCTGTGCTGCAGCGTGTGGCTGAGGTGCATGAAATGCCTGTGCTGCTTCTTTTTTACATCCCGAGGAGACTTTGCAAGCGTCGTTTCAGAGAATGCACGGAGAAAGTTACTGAAACCAGAAAGTAAATTAATTTGCAGTCACTTTTTTATGAAATCCTGGTTATAATGGAGCAAGAAGCCTGTTGGTTATATTCATGGCATGCATGAGGAGGAATGCATACGTCTGGACGGGGAATAATATTCTGCATTGTGTGCCACAGGAAATTAATGCTGCTGAAATGCTGGAATAGCTGAAATGGTGAAATAACTGAAGACCTAGATCCCCCACAAAAAAACATTATTAAAACCAGAGGAAGGGCAGCGGAGTCGCAAGCCAGGTGCCGAGTCCCCAGCCTGCTCTCGCCACCTGAGGAGCAGAACTTGGATGCAACAGGGACACCAGATCCTATCAGTATGACCCCAAAAACATGTGGGAAACCCAGCAAAGACAATCAATGCTCCTCAGCTGCCAGCTTTTATCCCGTTCCTCTCCCTCTTGGCCTTCTGCCACCACTGGTGGCTCGCTCAGCCCTCGGAGGGAGACACCCCACCGGTGCCAAGACGCCTCCTGCTCCATTTCCACCTATTTCTGCTTTACCCCCACCACATTTTCCTGCTGTGGTTTCCCTGCCTGGCACTGCTCTCCTCTCGCCCGTTTCCATGCCCTCTCCTTTGGCCAGGTCCGAGGGGGCCGCGGGTGCCAGCGGAGCCCCCGGGGCGCAGGGCCAGGCGCCGGGGGGACACTGCCCCATTGAGCCAGCACGGGGTGGCTCAGGCGGGCTCTGTTCTCCCCATGAAAAGCCCATACAGGTTTTTCTGCTTCCCTGCACGAGTCGGCGGGGAAATGCCAAGCCCACAGGCATGAAAGGAACCTTTTGTGGGGCTGCTCATCCCGCAGGGCGGGGGACGCGGGCGGGCGTTCGTCTTGCAAAGGGCAGGCACCCTCATCTCGCTCCATCTGCGTGGGTTTCCCCACTCGGGGACACCGTGTTCCTAGGGCAGAGCTTAGGGGCTCCATTTCGGGTCTGTTCCCTGCTGACGCCCTGCTTCAGGGTATCCCAGCACTGCCCCAGCAGCCTTTTGCTGATTTTCGAGCTAATATTTTAACAGATTTTCTATAATAAAAATTACCCGGTCCCTACGAGCTGCAATCCTGTCACGTACCAATAACTGCGTGGTTTAGACAGAGCTGTACTTAAAGTTTTGGAGCTGGAAGATGCTGACAATTACATTTGCGGATGAAGAATTAAAATAAATCCTGGTTAATCTGGAGCTGATCTCAGGTTGCTGATATTTCCTGGTGGTAAGCACCAGGGTTAGCACATGGTCAGCGGGCTTCCTTTGCTAAGCCCCTCTAATGAGACCATTAAGAGAGGCGCAAAAATAAAGAGGGGGGAAAGAGAAGGAGAAAGAAACGAGGACAAAGCACCCAGGCTCAGCTGGCACGATCCACAACGCCACCCAGGAGCCACCCTTGGTTTTGGGGTATTGCTCAGTACTAGCCCCAAGTGTAACCCGCAGCCCAAAGGGGAGCAAATCCTCCTGCTCCCAGCACAACAGCAGCCAAAATCGCCGCACCCCCAGGGAACACCAGCAGGCACGAGGGCTTTGCACGCCCAGCCTGCAAGGAGGTGCCGACCGTGAAGGAACCGGAACCAAAATGCAGCCGGGGACCTCGCACAGCCAGCACAGCTGGAAACCATCGGAGTACTTTAAATATTTTTTAAGAGTTATTCAAAACAAATTGTCCAGGGAGGCTCAGGAGCAAAATACCACCCACGTTAACGCTGCCCGGGCTTCAAAAATAATGCAGCTGGCTGCGGGAGGTTGAGGTTCCTCCTCTGCAGGTCGGAGACACGCGGAGCTCATCCTCAAAATTCAGCCCGTGTTCAGAGCCCACCTGCTGCAGGTGATGGCAGAGAACAAACGGTGGCAGCCCAAGCACGGCTGGAGCTGCGCCTCCTCCTGCCACCCCACGAAAACACCTTTGGAACTTCCCAAAATTAAAGCTGCTCCGGTTGTTTTCATTTCTGTTTGCCAACAACACGGAGCCAAAATCCTTCCCCTTCCTGAGCGCAAGGCTCGAGTGGTTACAACAGAGCCAGCAGTTCAAAAGCTTCATTAGCAGCACTAATTAATGATTCTGCTGTAGCTTTGGCGGCAGGTGAAGGAGGAGGCACCGTACCTGGAGTAGCAGGACAGGCTGGTGCTCACCACGGTGTTGAACACGGCGATGGGGACGTAGCAGTGGTGGAAGGTGCTGCTGAGCCACTCGTCCGGGAAAACGTACGCTGAATACGCCAGCGCAGAGCCTGGAAAGGGAAAACGTGCCCAGCGGGGTGCTGCTGCTGCTCGCCCTGCTCCCACAGGTTACCGGCTTCCCTGCCATCATTTATCTTTTATATCGTTTATTTTTTCCTTTATTCTATCTGCCTGGAGCACCGCAGAGAGCCACACCATCAGGCTTCACCTGGCACCAAGCCCCAAACCCCATTTCTTTGGCTTTTGGGCCAGAAGTGCTCTCCAAAACCACCCTCTCCCCACCGAAATCCTCCCGGGCTCGCTGCCCCGGGGCATCACCAGCCGCCCTTACCCAAGCTGTACATGCTGAGCGCCGCGTAATCGAAGAAGTAGCAGATGTGCCTGGCAGCGGGTGGACATGGGGCTGAAGGTGTGGGCGCAGCTGGAAGCCAGGGGGTAGATGCAGCAGGTCAGCAGGTAGGCGAGGAGAGGCCACGAGTGGGGGTCCTCAGGGCCCCCCGGCCCCCGCAGCCGCCCCACCAGGGTCCACACGAAGTACCTGGGGGTGGAGGCGGTGAGCATCGTGCCCGGCGCGTCCCCTCCCCGACCTCCCCTGGTGGCACCTACCAGGCGGGCACGAAATGGGTCCAGATGTTGAGCGTTTCGTTGGTCATTTGGAAGACGCTGAGGAGGCAGTCGGCTGCCGAGCTCCGCGGAGGGCGGTACCCGCAGAGGATGCCCTGCTCCTGGTAGCCCTGCGGGGCGAGGAGAGGTGCTGAGTCCTCCCCAAGGAGCAGGACGGGCAGTGGAGGTGCCACAGCTCAGGATCCGGGACCTGCAGCCACCCTGGCAGGCTGCTGCCACTTGTCACCTCCCCAAATCCCACCCAGCCCCAGGTTTAGGGGCGAGGGGCTCCGCTCTGACCTTAGGCACTTGGTTGATGCTGAGCAGCCGGGGTAACTTGAGGCTCAGCATCATGCAGTGGGGACGGTGGATCCAAGGGATGACGGTGGCTCAGCGTCCTTGGGGACGAGCCCCGGCGGTGCCTCACACCCTGCCTGGGCACATCGCTGCCTGGCCAGGCACCGCGTGGCACTGGGGAGGAAAAAGGATAAGGATGTGGCTGCCCCGTGAGGGCCAAGGTGATGTCCTTGTGCTCAACGGGTGGCCTGGGGGACACAAATGTTCACAGGGATGTGGTCCCAAAGGGGACAGGGCAGGGACAGGTCACCCCGGGGATGTGGAGAGATGTGGGGCCACAGGCAGCGCCCAGGCTGATCCCCCCCACCTGCTCCCCACCGAACACCCCAGGGGCACGGAGCAACCAGGACGTCTCCAGCACTTACCCGCTGATGGCCCCGGCAGCGCCGCCGCTCCCTTCTCCGCCTCCACCCCTGGGCTGTGAAATGAAGGTGAAAAAAGGTCCATTTGGGGCAAAGAGCAGCACCGAGGCCCTTCCCCACCCCTGGCACTGCCCATCAGCTTCCCCAGCCCGCACCCTGCCTCCGTGTGTCCCATGGGCACGGGGGGAACACCGTGGGCCACGTTCAGGGGGTGCCCAGGGAGGGCAGCGGCTGGGAGGTGGTTAACAGAAGGGAAAAAATTAACGAGGCAAGAGAGCAATAAACCAGCCACAGAATAAAGTTGGAAATGCCTTTAGTTAAAGATTAGACTTCGATCAGGACCTTCTCCTCGGCTGCTGCAGTGCCAGCAGTGCCCCAAAGCAGCCCACCTGTCCCCCGGTGTCCCCAGCAGCTCCTCGCCCCGCGCAGCCCCCAGGAACCCCCAGGGGCTCGGTGAGTCCGGGCTCTTGCTGCTTATTTGCATTCCCCACCAGTAAAGGCCGGTCTGGCACAGAGCTCTGCCTGTTCCTGTCCCCGTGGCACGTCTGATATAAACACAAATGAGGGCGACAATGGGACGGAACAAAAATACTTTCTCTTATCTGGGCGAAGGCGCGGGAGCCGTGCGAGCTATGCGGCGAGGTCGGTGCCCAGGCACGCCGCGGCTCTGAGGACCAGCAGGGTGCAAACTGGGGGACAAGGACAAGGAAAGGGACAGGGACAGGGACAGGGGTACCCAAAGCATCTGCACCCCAAATGGAAGGAGAAGCCCAGTGGTGGCACACCAGAGGTCAGGAGATGAGCGCAAGGTGCCCGAGAGCCTTCCCCTCAGCGCACGGGGCAGCAGCCACCACGCTCACAAGTTCTCCAAGCTGGGAGCAGCACGGGGTGCTGCAGACAGGCCTGCGGGGTGACAGTGACCTTGGCAAACCGAGGAAGTGATGGAGGAACACAGGTCCCTGGGATGGGGACTTGGCCTCTGGCAGCCGGGCTGCTCCCCGCTGTCCCCGCGGGGGCCCTCGCCCTCCGCCCGCGGCTCCCGTGCCAGCCCCAGCCACGAGCCTGTGTTTTTAAGAGCAAAATGAGTCACCCGAATGCAGGCTGCATGAGCAGCCCGGGCACACCCTGCAGTCCCATTTCTTCCTGCTGCCTGGGCTGGTGGTTTTCGACGTGGGCAGCATCGCCCCTGCGGTGTGGGCAGGGGCACGGCAGCGGCTGGCGGGATGGCCGCGCGTCGAGCCGCGACCTCTGCGAGTGGCAGCTTTCCAAGCAGCGGGTTACAAACCCTGGAGGCTCACCCAGCTCGCTGCAAACACACCCTCCTCCTCCTCCTCCTCCTCCTCCTCCTCCTTCTTGTCTTCCTCCTGCTCCTCCTCCTCGTCCCCACGGCCACGCACGAGCCCCGTACCCGTCCCTGTCACCGCATCCACTCCACGTGCGCGTGAGCCCAGAGCCCCGCAGGATGCAGCCGTGTATTTCAGTGGAGGGAAACATATTTTAGCTGTTAATTATTAACTTTTACGGCTTTCTTATGGCTGCACAGGAGAGGGACCGGTTGAGCTGTAAAACAAGAGCCAGGGCTCCTTGGGGTGCTGCTCCCTGGGGTGAGCATCGCGGGATGTGCTGCTGCTGCCAGGCGTCGGCTGCTCCGGCACAGAGACAAGCGAGCAAGTTCAAGTACTCACACAAGCTCAAGGCTGCCCCAAACTCAGGCACGTGCGTGAGCTCCTTGCAGCCCTGGCACTCCCATCCCTCCTCGTCCTGCCCGTGAAACATTTTGGGATGCAACTTGCAGGAACAGCAGCCACGAGCAGCAGCAACCGGGCGCCTCCCCGGCGGCACCACCGCTCGCCGCTCCTTCCCACCTCCAGCCGCCTGCGGCACGCGTGGGACACTCCCTGGCCACCCCGCGCACCCCACATCGCACCAACCCCAGCTTCCCCCGGCTGGAAACCCCCCACGGCCTGAGCACAGGAGCGCAGAGGACAGCAAGGAGCTGCCAAAAGCTGCTGGAGGCAGGGAAAGAGGAGCGAGCGTGCCCGTACTTACGGCGCTGCTGCCGGCAGCGGGCTGGGCGCTGTGCGAGCGCCTGGAGCTGTTACTCATCTGTGTACAAACACAGCCCGCATGGCTGGGCCGGGGCCTGGGCAGGCTCGCAGCGAGGGAGGCGAGGCAGGAAGGGCCGGGGAGCTCTGCCAAGAGCCGGGCTCGCAGCAGGCACCAGCGGGACGGGGATGGGGCCGGGAGGGTCCCACCCGGGGATGGTCCCCGCTGGGCGCAGGGAAGGACGTGCGGAGGTCAGCCCGGCCGGCTGCGCGCCGCGATTAGGAGCGAATTAATTCTGGCTCGTGTCTTGGTGGAACAGGAAAAAAAAAAAAAAAAAAAGAAAAAAAAAAGAAAGAAACAACAAAACAAAACCGGAAATTGCTGCGGCCAAACTCTGTCGGATTGCGCTCTGGATCGGCTTCAGTGAGGCAGTGAGGAAGCAGAATAAGGGCAGGAAAAAATATTAACTCACAGGCTTCTCCGTGCATCTTCGGCTCCCAGGGCCCTTTAGCACCGGAAAACACCAGAAACTTGCTTAACTGTCTCCAGGGAGACTGCAAAAGTTGAAACCGTCACGGGGATGGGGAGGGAGGTGCTACCAAGGAGAGGATCCTCGGCCCACGCCGCAGCGTCGCTGCCCTGACGGCTCCGTCCCCGCGCTGCTCCCACAGCCACACACAAAACCCGGCGCATTTCCCCTTCCCCTCCACAAAACCTCTTTTTTTTTGCTGCGTCCCGGGCAGCCGTGAGCGATGTTTCAGTGGCTGAGCAGAGGGTGGGTTGAGGGCTGTGAATCGGTGCCGAGCGCTGCGTGGCCATTACTGGAAGCAGCCGGCAGAACCGCATCCAGGCGGAGCGCATCCCTCTGAGAGCCCGGGGAGAAGGGCTAATGGGAGTTAAATCGGGTCGTCGGGAACCAGCCCTGCCCAACCTGGGCAAGGATTTCCTCCCGTGGAGGTGAGGCTGTGCCGGCAGAAACCGGCGCTGGGGAGCTGGACCTACACGGCTCTGGGTTTCGGAGCCCCCTTTCACTCAGATTAACAACATGATGCCGTCCCCAAACAGCGCAGGGAAGGTTTCATCACAGCGCAGCGCTGAGGAGAGGCTGGAGTGGGGACAGCAAAGCCCACGCGATGTTTTTCCACCCTTGCTGGCGAAGCAGCACAACGTTTGGATTTGCTTTGGGAGCACAGGGAGGATGTGGCCGTGGCCGGGCTGGGCGCAGGCACGTCTGCCTCCAGCTGTGGAGCCCCCGGGGGACACCAGGGCCACCGTCCCCAAGGGGCCCAGCACAGCCCCGTGTCCTCCTCCCAATTTTGGCATTTAGCGTGTGTTTTAAACCATTTCCTGTGCTTCTGCCTCTTTTCTCCTCCAAACCATTTCCTGGATGTTTCTCCGAGGCATCCCCAGCCCCCTGGGACCCCGCGCCCACGCCGCCTTCAGGGGCAGCCCGTGGGGCACGCAGGGGTTGGGACACCTCGGGGGGAGATGCCCTCACCTCGCAGTGCCCCCATACTCCCCAGGTGCCCCAAAACAGCTTCTCCTGGGTGGCACCGTGCTGCCCAGCGAGGACCGAGGTGAACATTTCCTCTACTCACCCCCTGCCTGCCCGGGGCTGAGCCGCAGCCACTCAAATCAGCCGGAAAGGATGAAGTCCGCTGCTGCGCTGTGAGAAACCCGGGGAAAAACCTGAAAACGACTCCTGGCTGTTCTCATACAGTCGCCGACACGAACCTATTAAGCCATCCAGTCCGGTGCTCTGCTCATTAATGCTGGCAGCGAGGAGCTGCTCACTGCCAGCCCCTCCACCTCGCTCTGCCAGGGAAGGTTTCGGTCGGGAACTTTGACCCCGCGCCGGGCAGCGCGCACCCACACGGCGATGGCACCGGCCCTGCCGGCTCCCTGCTCCCCAGCCCCACAGGATTTCGGTCCCAGCCCAGCCTCGTGGTCCCAAATCCAGTGGGTTTAGCCCCGCCGTGCTCAGCAGGGCTGTGGCAACACGGCGAAGCCTTGCGGCAACTGGTGCGGCCAGTTGGAAACCAGTGGAAACTTCCCAGCCGTAAAAGGTGTTTTACGAGTTTCGGGCAGAACCCGGCTGTAATTTTTTTTGCAGCTAGATAGGAACGGAGCTGGAACACAACCGAGCTAGCAGGGCGGGCTGGGGATCTGGAGAAGAGCCGTGAGCACAAATCAGCTCCTGCTTTCCCCTGGTCCTGGGGTCAGAGCAGCAGGAAAAGGCATTTGCAGGGGGAAAGTTGCAGGATTCACATCACGGAGACCACAGAGATGGGATGGGGATGGGGATGGGATGGGGATGGATGCGGTGTGGGTGTCCCGCCGGGGTTGCAGCAGGCACGTGGGGTGCGTCCAAGCTCAGAGGGCAGTGCTCAGGTTCCCATCAGCTCCCAGCTGTGGGGTGGAGGCAGGCGGCAGCAGCGCAGAGGTGACTTTTAGCAGCCCGTGGGACCGCGGGGCACGCCGTGTGTTTGCAGAGCTGTGGTCACACATCCGCTGCCCAGACGTGACTCAGCCGGGAGCTGGGGGTCACATTCGGACCCGTGTCACATTTTTTTTCCCCTATTATTCTATTTAAATTAATTGGAGGGTTTGGACATGGCCTTTTTCCAATTTCAGTTGATGGGGCAAAGACCGAGCGTGGGAAGGGGTCTCCCCAGCGCTCACAGCTCCCCAAAACCTCCAAGAGAGAGAAAAATGGTCTCGGGGGAGAGCTGAGCATCCCTCGCCTGCTCCGAATCACTGCGGCACGGCCGCCGAGCCGCTCATGGTGTGCAAAGGGAGAGCTGGTTAATATTTAATGTAGCCCCGAGCCTGCATGTTTAATTACGCACGTTTAATTCTTCTCCACATCACTCGTGGCCTGCCTCAAGCTCCGCGTCGGGGCTGGATCCTGCCACAGAGGGGTCTGTTCCCAAGGGGCATCCCATCGCAGGCAGCCGAGCAGGATCCTGCCTCACCTCGCTCTGTGCCGGGTGGGGAAAGCCAGGGGACAAGGAAAAGGAGAGGACAGCAGGATAAAAAGCGGAGGATTCGGTGGGAAAGCGCTTTGAGAAATCACCCCAAACCTGCCCAGGGCCAGGGTGGACAGCGATCGTGGGGGTCCTTGTGGCCTGGAGCCTGATCCATGCCTTAAATAAGAAATAGGGGACATCGTGGGGAGCTGGTGGCCCCGTGGGGCTGCAGGGACCCATATGGAAAGCCCCGACCCCCCCAGCACATCCCTCGACCCAGCACGCAGCTGGACCCGGCTGCTGGCACCACGCGGTGCCTGCGATGGATTTCTGGCTCCGGCCTGTCTTAATTAATATTTTTAATTACAGAATGGATGCGCTGACAGGTTCTGCTCGCAGGGCATGGCAGGGGGAGGACGGTGCCAGCGCGGGCGCAGCGGGAGGAGGCAGGGGGGGGGCTGGCAGCCAGCCGGGAACAGGCGCTGCCCGCGGGGAGCGGGTGCCGAGGAGGAGCCAAACCCTTGCGGAAACCCAGAGCAAAAACCCTGCGGAGCCAAAGGATGCAGGGCTGCGATGGAAAAGGCCTCCTTACGCCTTCCTCATCCTCGTTTTCCCGTATCTGCTGCGTGCCCGTGGCACCAAAAGGGGCGCAGTTGGTTCTGCCCCGCCACCCCGCGCGCATTGGCACCACATCAGTGCCCTCGGCTGAGCGCACGGCAGGCACCCTGAGGTCCCCGGACAGAGGGAAATGGCAGCTTCCTTCCCACCAGCTGCTTCTGCTGACATTTGGTTGTTCAAACAAGGGGAAAACAAAAAGAAAGCGGCACAGCATCCATCAGAGCCCGCCAAGCCCTGCCAGCACTTGGGATGCGGAAGGGATTTTGGGGAGAAGGGCTCTTTATGATCAAATTAATGGGGTAGAATTCCCCACCCAGGCACTGCCGTTTGGATTTGTGTGTTTTTTTTTTCCCCCCAGGTAATGGGCTTTGCAGCAGCAAATCTATTTCGATGCTTCCTGCACACAAGGGGCGACACGCATGCCCGCTCGGTGCCGGAGTTCCCTAAACCCCAGCGATTTGGAGGTGATCCTGGCCAGGAGGGGAGCTGAGCAGCCCTGCGGGACAGCACGGCTGGAGAAGCCCCGGCTCGGGTACCTGCAGCCCCTGAGCTCATCCCCTGGGGCTGCCTTGCCCCTGTGGCACAGCCAAATCCCCTCCAGCCAAACACGTGCTCCTTGCTGGCAAAGGAAACCTCGCCGTGCCTCCCCGGGGACCCAGGAGGAGGCGAGGGAAGAGCTGCCTCCTTCTGCCTCCTTCTGCCTCCCTCACCAGAGGTTAAGTGCACGTGCAGCCCGTTATTGCCCAGCACCAGGTGCCGCAGGCAGTTCGAGGAAGAGCTGCTCATCCTCACGTCAAGCAGCCCAGAGCTATTCAGCAAGTTGCTCGGAGATACAAATCCGACGAGCTGAGCTATTAAAATATTCGCTGTCCTGAAGACAGCGAGTGCCAGGACGTCTTTCAACGTTTGCACTTCACCATAGCAAGACTCAGCCCTGTTGAATACGCTAAATGCTGAGTGCTCGACACTTAAATAGCTCCTTCCATTTTGGGAAGAGATTAGGAAAGTATAGCAGCAGCTATTTAACATGCAGGAAGTGCAATGCGTACAGGGGAGTTATCAATCACTCCCGGCAGATGGTAAATGTATCTCCTTTCACCACAAACTGAGCAGCAAACATTCAAATTCATCACCAAGACAACATATTTAAATCCCCTTCTATTTTCAATTCATACGTTTTTCAACTGCTAAGTAATGAAAATCAATATTTTCGCCCACGCCGCTGGGAGAGAGCCCGGGGAGCTCTGCCCGGCTGGGGAAGCTGCGCTCGGAGTGTTTCAGCCACCCAAAGTTATCCACGACAAAGTCAGATGTCCCGCGGGCAGGTTGGATTTCTGGCTACAGCAGCACCAACTGGCCACAGCCCAGCGAGCTCCGGTGGAACAGCAATTTAACAGCAATTTAGCAGCACTTTTAGGAGCACTTTTAGCAGCACTTACGCATCCAGGGAGGAGGCAGCGTGTCCGGCACAGGGTGGTGGAGATGGGCTCAGCTGACCTCAGCTCCCCTTCGTGGGGGAATTTTGATAAAAGTAGGACTTGCACGCTTTTAGCTGAAAATAGGAGACTGGTGCTCCTCTTGCACAGGTCATTACTAAGTCTCAGCTTCGTGTGGGTGTTTCTTCAGTGCCCAGTTATTTAAAACTCACCTCACAAAAATGAGATGAACTCCAAATGAGACGCATTTAGCATAAGTAACTCACATCAGCAACACCCTGTGTGCGCTTTACTTGAGCAGACAGAATACGCACCTCTGGGCCTTATCCCAAATCAGAAACTCCTACCTGCTGAAGTAAAAACATTTTTCATCCTATTTCAAGTCAAAAATCTGCCAGAATTCCCTAAAAGAAGACATCTCAAGAGACACCAAGATGATTGCTAACCAGCACTCACCTGCGATCACACGCAGGAGGTAAACACCGAAATAACGAAAAGGCCCCGTGTTTGTCTTAAGATAAAAAATTTATTTTACAATCTTATAAAGCAGCTTTACATTAAGCACAAACGTTGATCTATTTACTTTGTATATAAACATAGTAGAACCTTTCCTTCTGCAAAAAGTCATGTCTTGCCGTATATAAAACTAACATGTGCACATTGTGCTTAAACTGCAAAGTCTGTACAGCTTTACAAAGGACTACCCTTTACAAGAGCATCCTGTAAACAATTTATTGCATATTTAACACATGGTGTATATCCCACATGTAAAAATGTAGAAAAAATAAAGTACAATTACAAGGTGAATGAAAATAGCAGCTTTCAGTGAA